GACTTATATTAATACGTATGTCAACATTACATCTGTACCCATACTCTTTGTTGCCGTATTTCTAACAATAGTGATTTTCAATCCGTAGAACTCTATCTTTAGAAGAGAGAATAAGTGATGGATGAAATGAATACAGGCACCCACATCCTCAAGAGAGAAAAATATTTTATTTTTACCAGCGTTTCTTCTTATCAAACTTATGTCAATAGAAGCATCGAGAATAAAAAGAGTGCTTTGGTGAAGAACGAAAACAACTTTTATCGAGAAAAAAGACGCAGCAAATCTCACACAATCTAGCGAACATCAACACTTACCGTTATCGAAGAATCATACACCTTTTACAGTCCAAAACAAAGTAGACGATGCAATTGTGTTCTTATTTACGATATGCTTAACTCTTTCATTAGATGAGTCTTAGTCAGCGATATTTCACAGCATAGTAGATATTTTTCCTTCGCTGTGTTTAGTCGTTTAGTTACATGATTTTATCAATAAATATAAAAATATTCAACTGTTTTAGAAACGAGTCGTCTTTTTTAAACTATATTTTCCGTATTAATTTCAAACAATTTAAAAATCATGATGTGGTGGTGGCTTTTTCTAATTCTATCTTATATTGTGGCTGTTGTGTTGTTTCATGTGTATATTCGTTATCTCTCCTCTCGTCGAATCAATTTCAACTCAAAATCTCCACCAGTAATAATCGAACCTTGGTACTGTCCATTTCTGGGTCCTGTTCTTTCGTTTTTAAACCTTGAGGCGTCAATTAATAAATGGCGTGCCAAATATGGTGCTAATTTTACGCTACTTATCTTCGGAAAATATGTAACTTTTGTCACAAAATACGTTGATATAAAGAAATATTATCATGGAACCGAGGAAATGTTAAGTTTAACAAAAGCAGCACAAATTCTTTTAGGATCCGCATATCCAGAAAATCAGTACATGGTAGAATATAGTGCAGTTCCTTATTTGCAAAGAATTCTGACTCCTCGTTATTTACGTCACATGGCATTGAACTTTGAAATAGTTGCTGACGATTATTTTAATACAAAGAATGGGCAGTTTTGGGCAGAAAATGGTGATGAAACTGTTGTTGATTTATTCGAGTTTATGTATCGACTTATTATTCGTTCGAATTCCATCAATTTCACATCTTTTCGAGTTTACAAGAATCATGTTGAAGAATTAATTAGGCTCTTCACTATTCTAGATGTAGAAAAGAGTATTGCTAATCCAATAACATATGGTCTTAAAAAACGATTGGGAATGAAGAGCGATAGAGATATTGCCTGGGAACAATGGACACAACTTCTCATGCCGGACATCGAAAGATGTTTAAAAATGATCGAAAATAATATCGAGCCAGTAGATGGTGATATTATTTATGAAACTATCAAGTATGCTAAAGAAGAATTGGAAAAACGTGGACAAATATTTACACCTCGATTAGTGGCTTTTCTCACTTTTTCGACATTTGTTCCAGCACAAGTCAATACATATACAACTGCAGCATTTATGATTCTTGAATGGATTCGTCATGAACACGATGAAATTGGTCAGCGGATGAAAGAAGAAATTGATCATGCACCACCGAAAGGTGAAATTACAATTGAATATTTGAATTCAATGGAATATGTTCAAGCATGTATTTATGAAGTGATTCGAATACGTACTGATTCTCCAGTGAGCTTTCGATTAGCTGGTCAACCTGTTCCTCTCTCAAATGAGAAATTTATTCCAGAGGGAAATATTGTTGCAAGTCCACTGACTCGTGCTGAAGACTTGTATCTTAATCCTGAAAAGTTTGATCCCGACAGACATTTAACACCAAGAGAAGAAATGAAGGCTGATCCATATCGTGCATTACCATTTGGACGAGGTAGACATCCTTGTACAGGAGAAAGATATGTTAAAATGCAAATTAAAATGTTTCTTATTCAATTATCTAAAATGTGCAAAATGGAATTAATGCCAGAATCGAACAATTTTGAGGCAACAATCAACAAAAAACAATTGGCAGGATTAAGTCGACCGACAAAACCAGTTTTCATTAAAATATCAAAGAGAGAATTATAAATTATCTTACATCACTTGTTTCTTTATCTATAAAAAACTTTAACTAAATGTGACTTGGTGATGAATAAAAGGCTATATATGAATTGTGATCAGTTTTAAATTATATGAAGTAATCCATAGTTACGATTAGAAAAAAATTAATTCCTCGTCGCTGCTAATTTCGATATCTTTTATAACTTTAATATAGTGATGAGATACACTTAGAATTCCTCTGATAAACATCAAAATCTTTATCGTGGATACGTTTCTTTTTTACTAATATAAGTTTGTTATTATCTTATATATATGTGTATTTCTTGGGTCGTGTTGTTTGTTTTTGAAACTGCTCTTGTTCATAACGACACATAGAAGATTTATCCGATGATTTTATTTCATTAATTCATAAAAATAATTATTATATAAGATGGCCTTGTAACCTCTCTCAATTGTTGACCAAGAGAGTGTGGGTAAGAGAAGAACAAAACACCCACATCTGTACATTGACTTTGCGTTATTCTGCTTGAAATCTAAAAAAAACCACTGCTGGTATTTAAGAAAGTGTGCTATTTTCCATTTTCTTTTAAAATATTTACTCCGCAAGTGAAAGTCACCCAGGTAGATGAGGAACGAAAAATACGCTGTTTCTGCGCGTAAAAATGTGCGCCTTTTACGCGATGAAAAAAAAATGTTTTTGAAAGCAAAACGATGGAGACACTCTTTATTGTTAGCAACTCGACTTCTTCTACAAGAAAAGAATTTTTTTCAAGCATAAAAAGCGCAATTTTTTTCGCAGAGAAACCCCACATTTTTCGTTCCTTGTCTGTCCGGGCACTATTCAAATGGTCTGTGTGCAAGGATAATGACTTTCTGCTGATAAAAGAACAAGAGGCAAGTGCGTCAAATAAGCTTTTTCTCTCTCGTTCCGTCACAAGTTGTTACGTAAATGAATAGACAGTGGACTCACATTCACGTCAAACCCTACAAACAGTCGATTACTTAATGTGCCATTTACTGTTTGAAACAGAGAGTTCTCAAAAGTCGTCTACACCCACAACATCGCCTAACAACAATAATGTACTCTTATACAAGGCCCATGCATACTTTTTTCGGAGTGACTGCGATGAAAATCAGATATCAACAGCTCGAGATCAGTGATGACCAAGCTTGTATATTCGCAGATATTGTATTTCACGATCTATTACCAGAAGAGTACATTTTGTCTTTGGAACAAGTGATCAATAGTCTCCGACCATGTTCTGCATCTTACTGGATATCGGAGATCGAAATAGACAATCAAATTCTATCATGCAAGGCTACCACTACATATCGTGACATTCGAGGATTCAAAGCCTTAGAAGAACAACAAACAGCAGAGGCAGCATCTGAGAATGCTGTTGTTGTTACTCAAAATGACCCTGCATGTATTTCGAGTGTTGAAGATATCAGAAAAGTTGCATTGTAAATTTATCTCAGCCCTACAGTCACTGGCAAGACTGAATACCGTCCATCATTTCTATATCACGTTATCAAAGATGCCATTTTGAATGTGAACGGATGGGAATGCTTGCGAAGAGTTGAAGATCAATAAATACCAATCGAAGATAATAAATGGCTTTTGGCGCAAAAACATATATTACATAAACAATTCCCATGGATGTCTATATTTAATTCTCCAACAGGTCTGCTTGCATACGGCCTGAAACTTCTGACGCTAACTACCAATGCGAAAAAAGAGAGCGGCAACGACGTACGATGAAAGATGTTGACCAAGCCATTGCGAGGTCGGACACGTCTAATAGCAAACAGAAGCTCAGATCTTGGACATGCGTTTTGTATAGCAGTTTTATTGATCGCGATATTCCAATGCAAAACCGACTGACACAGTGGGTGAATTTCTTTCGAGATACTTGCAAAACAAGTTCTCAACGTTCAGAACAGTTACTTCAAATATCAGTTTCCTTATTCTATTTTACAGAATGAATGCCTTCGTAGGGCCTTTTTATGTCTTAGACAGCGAATTAATGAATTTGAGGGTGTGAATGTGAGTGAAGATGTGGGTGCGGGCATAGGTGTTGTTGTCGGTATGGGTGTAAGCAAATGAAATATACACCCACGCCCACATCCTAATTTTAGCATTTTGTTTAGAAAAGAAAGAGATACCACTGAAAGTGGTGTTACGTATATAAACGATATATGGTACTATACATACTTATGTATAACTGAACTCTGTAATCTGCTGAATTTAATCATAGAAAAACAAATAGAGTAGCTTTATATAGTTACTCCAACCTTTATTAAACCCAGTGTAAACGTCAAATATTTAAGTTTATTTATGAACGGACACTGATCACTTTACAAGAAGCACAAATATTAGTATTGTATGTAGATACACATATATATGATCATTAACATGGACAAATTCAACTTGCGCCTATGTCATTAATCATTTTACATTAAAAAACAAACAAACAAACAAAGAATACGTCATACATCAAACAGAAAAAGACAAAAAGTATGTTAAATAAGACGAGCAGACCATTTAACTGCATTGATCATCATTGTCACGATATTTGCATCGTTTCCCCAATTAAATGTACCAGTGTTGTAATGGCCAGCATGAGCAATCTGTACTATACGTCCAGCAGTTCCTGAAGAAGGTGCAACAATAACTGCAGGTGTGCCGCATACTGTGCAGTTTGCTATTATTGTTGTTCCGACCTTGGGTGTATTCAATGTACTATAGCCTAAAGTTACCGAGGTAGAAAAAGAAGTTGCTAGACCATTCCAAATTGGATGTCCACTATTAATCAAAGTAAATGACATAGTTGTAGTAACACCTGTTATTCGTGTTGCCAATAAAAGTGAAGATAGTACAGACCATTGTCCATTCAAAACATGAAATGCTGCCCATTCTGTCATAACTACACCAGTACCATTGTTCTGCCAAGCATTTAAAATAGATTGTTGTCCTGCAAGTGGCATATCTGTATTCTCGGTATTACCGGTTATTAAAATGATAGAACTGTAAGTGGATGCATCTGGAGATCCAGTGTAAGTTGTTATTCCACCAGATATATAACTAACAGTTAAACCAGCAGATTGTAAACTATTAACCAATGTTTGAACTGTGGCAGTGTTTGTGTCACTGAGCAATAGTGTTGTGTTACATTTTGATCCACATCCTAGAACGTAACAGAAAGAACTTAGTTATACAGCTACATATTGTATGAGGAAAAAATCTCCAATCAACATGATTTTATTCAAAGTGAACATCACGTCTATAAAGAAAAAGGCATAAAATTTGGATCAACTATATAAACTTAGCCAAATGTTGGGTATATTCGCTTTTTTATATTTTAATAAAATATATGAGGATTTGTATGTATGCAGAGAAGAGTGACTGTGTTCTTTATCCACATTCACGGTACCTACTCAATGGCATACCCACACCAGTAATCTATTTGACTATAAATTTTTCAATCGAAAAACTCAGATTTCAAGCTTTAATAAGTAATCGGTTGACACATATACTGCAGAGTTATTAATTAAATTATCAAATATCTCCGAGGTAAAGATATCTTGTCTTGCGTCTTTATATTACACAGAGCGTGATAAACAAACTGTAGTATTTTATTTCAATAATCATTGTTATAAATAGAGAGAGGATCGATATCGAAACTCTAAAATCTTCGAAACCTTTAACTATCCAAACAGTCGGATCCAAAAACCTGAAATCTATCAGAAATTTAAATCAGACAACTGATTAATTTTGCAGTTGGTATATGCTGATTCCCATTTAAATAAAATATTCTCTGACTAATAGTTAATACAGTCACTCTTACATCGCTTACTTTTGCTTAAAAAATCAGGTGCTTGCTTTGCAACACATAAGCAGAAGAGAAGAGATAGTTTCGTACAGATTCACATTTGAATCTATACCGAAGGAGCGAAATTCATTAGATGCAGAGAACGTAGTTCGATTGATGATTATATGAAACAAGATTAGCGAGAAGAAACAGACGAGAAAGCTAATGGAAATTAAAACGATCAGTATCTCTAACTTTAGTTGACATATACACTCTGTATTGTGTGCTATTAAAAGTTTCAACAAGAAATCTCTGAGAAATAGAGATTGAAAAAGTGTCCTAGGATGTGTTACTGATATCTGCTATCAAATCGTTTATAGACAAAAATCTTATCTGAAGGTATTTATCGGCATGATATTCATTCGGTAGATAAAAACTAAAACCTTTTCCTGTTAGTCACTTAAATAGATCATTTGTTAGGATCCCAGAAGAAGATCAGTGAATCCTTTAAAATATCGCTCACCAGTTGATGTCGTTATTTTTGTTGTAGACGACGATGTTGTCGTTGTTGTTGTTGTGGACGACGTTGATGAAGTGGTTGTGGTTGATGTTGTTGTTGTTGACGAGGTTGTGGTTGATGTTGTTGT